GGATAAAAGATGCTCCAGTATTAGGAAAATCGCCGGATGAAGAAGTTGCTACGTTTATTCAAAAATACGTAACGTGTGAAATTCCAGATGAAAATGTTTCGCCAACGTTGTACGATACGGTAATAAGTGATCAGAATCATAAACATAACTCGTATTGCATGCGTACGAAAAAAACGGAAACTAATATATACAGAAAGTGTCGGTTCGATTTTCCTCGGCCAGTTACTGAGAATTTCGTTTTAAGAGACGTTATCACTTCGATAGTCGGTAGAAAAAATTTACGCAGTAAGAGCAGATTGTACGATCTTCCTCGCAAGGAGTCGGAAAGGTTTATAAATGATTATAATCCGTCTATCAAATTAGCCTGGGAGGGAAATATGGACATACAATTTATTAGAGAAAAATCAGAGTTTTTAAACTCATATTTAACAAAATACACGACAAAGTCGGAAAAATGCAATACAGACTTTGAAGTGATAGATTCGAATAAGTCCTTGGCATCGAAACTGTGGAATTTTGCAATGCGTTCATTAAATAACAGAGAATGCGGTGCTTTAGAAGCTGCGGATACACTATTAGGGAATCCCTTGTACGGTACGGATAATGATACCATGGTCAAATGGATCGATGTTAATGAGGTGAGAAATAGAAAAGTTAAAACATTTAATGAAATTTAAGCTCTCGATGAAAATTCTACGAATATTTACTGTTCGTCACTCATCGATGATTACTATCCAAATAGACCTCAGGAATTAGAATCATTGAATTTGTACGATTTTGCCAGATTCTGGGAAATTACGAAACAGATGTCAAATAATGACGAAGTCAAGTGTTACAAACTGGCATCGGGTTTATTTAAAAAAAAACGAAAAAAGGGTTATTTAATTAACCATTATCGATTTAATATAAAAACTGAGCCCGAAAAATACTTTTACTCGCTGCTTCTTCTGTTCAAACCATGGAGAGATTTGAGTGAACTCAAAGGTACATTCGAGACTTACACGGATGCCTTTAAGAATTCAGAGTCTGTTTTAACGAAGGCAATGAAATATCACGAAAGGCTCGAAGAAATACAGAAAGCTTTTGAGAACGTTGCTGAATTAATCGAGAAGCGCGAAAATGATCTGAAAACAGCAGACAGAGACAAATCCGATGACGATGAACTGGATTGTAATCCGATAGAAGCTGACGACGCGATGAAAGATCTGGAAGATTTTGGTAAGATTGACGACCCGATTGATTTATCGCAAATGATGTCGCAATTGAACGAAGACCAGAAAAGAGTCTTTGATGGAGTATGCCAAGTTTTACAAGATAAGAATCAGATTCTGCGACTGTACGTAAGTGGCGAGGGTGGTACAGGGAAAAGTTTTCTAATTGAAACGATTAAACATTGGATCAGAATAAATTTGGAAAAAACGACTGCCATATCTGCTCCCACGGGTATCGCAGCATTCAATATCGATGGCTTGACAATCCATAGAATGTTTCAACTACCGGTTAGTCATGAATCTACACCAAAATATACGCAATTGTCAGACATGGTCTTGAAAACTTTGAGAGACAAATTAAAGAATGTCGAATTATTTATAATCGAAGGAATTACATGTAACAATGCAATGATGGATTTAGGAACGACTGTATTCAGTGATGGTCAAGCCTATGTAGGTTTGTCACGAGTAAGTAAATTGGAAGGCCTACATTTGATAAATTTCAATCCAGCATCAGTTAAAGCAAACTCGAGAGCCATTGTAGAATATAATTGACTGAGATCTATATTCAAATCTGAACTGCCACAAATCAATCCGTCCGAGAAAAAGGTTGTGAAAATGTACGATCGTCGATGGGATATCTCTAATATCATTGATGATATGCAGAATTATGATTGTGAGGAACCAGAAAGTATAGTTACGTGGAAAATATATGGCCTTTGCAATAACGATGCTGTTTCGTGTTACGCTAATGTAATATTACAATGTGCGTTTCATTGCGTACGTATTAGGCAACAAATACTGAAAAATAAAGCATCGAATGCATTGATTGATGCTATCTGCGCGTATGGTGAACGTAAATATTGCAACATTCAAGCGGTTAGAAGATCTGTCGGAAAACGCTTCGAAGAACGAACACAACAAGATGTTTCGGAATTTTTTACGGCTCTAATATCGACGTATTCCGACGTCAATGATGTATTAAAACTCGAATTAAAGCACGTAACATGTTGCTCGAATATCAAATGTAATTACAATGTAACTAAGCTGGAAAGCAGTAGTTTGTTAATATTACCTATACATTCGACATTAAAAAGGAAAAAAGGTGTCACTCTACAAAGTTTGATTAATGTAGAATTTTCTAAATGGGAAACGATAAACGGCAATTGTAACGAATGTAAGGGCACCGTATTGAAAAAGAAAACCGTAATCGAATCAACTTTTTCCGTCGTAGTAATACAGCTCAATTTATATACTTTTGTAAACGGTGCTTCTAAAAAAATTATCAACAATCGGATTACCGCCGTGCCGACGAGTAATATCACGATTAATAAAAAAAAGTACAAGCTAATAAGCGCTATATTTCACGAAGGTGAAGAAATGAATCGTGGTCACTACACGTGTATGTTGAGAGCTGACACAAAATCGGAATGGTATTACTCTAATGATATGGAAGTGTTCAAGAAAAAATGGCCCAAAGGAGCACAAGGGGCATACATATTGTTCTTAGAACAGATTAAATAATGGCGCTGTATAAAGGCTGCCGTAAACGCTACATTAAAACATCAACTGTTCTAGCGCTGTATAAAAGTTGCCGTAAGCGCCAAAATAAAATATCGGCTGCTCTGGCGCTTTATAAAAGCTGCTGTAAGCGCTGCATTAAAACGAGTGCAATAAGTTTCTAATTTGACCTAGGCTTCATGACATTTCAAAAAGTATCATCAGAAAAAAATTATCAGACAGAAATATGTATGTCGTGTTAAAATCGGAGAGACGAAGAAAAATATATGGTTGCGTTCTCACGAGAATGGGCGATGGAGGGGCCCATTCTTTATTTTCAATATTCATACAAGAATATAAATTCATTCTGTTGCAATTGAAATAAATGTGCAATGTATCGTTAAAAGTTATTACAATTATACAAACATTTACATATATGATTAAATAAAATATATATGTATACTATAATATAATTATATATTTTATATATGTACATATATATACCATATATTTCAATTATTTTGAACTGTATTGCATAAATTGTTACTTATACAAAGTTATGTGATAAGAATCGAAAATACATATATTTGTGATACTTGAATTACTATTAATTTATACATGAATTACTATTATAGAAAGCTGCTCTATATATCTGTACTTTAAAAAGTAAGTGATATCCTAAAAAAATCATAAAAATGAAAAGGTCAGGCCATGTTCAAAAGAAGGCACTCAAAAATTTAAACGATCTAATAATAAATTATCACGAAAAGTAACTGATATGTTATTCAAGGTGCCAGTTCAAAGTGAACATACGTAAAGTGTATATTATCTAAATTTAGTAATAATATATTACCATGAAAAATAACTGTGATATTTTATTCAAGGTGCAAGTTCACATTGAACATACATACATATAAGTAAAACTGATTACAATTTGATTCTAGAAAATAAGTGCGATATGTTATTCTTAGTGCACAAAATATAATAGTCGTTTATAGAGATTTGATTTGAAATTCATACTAGCCCGTACAATGAAAAATAATTGCTCGTAATTCCAGAGTACCAATTTGTTAATTACTCAGAAAAATAACATGGCGGCCTGCTCTCAAAAAACTATGATGTTTCTCGATGTCCATTTAGAAATAATGTCGAAGCTCTTACAGAATAATTACTACAACATTTGAAGTACGAAAAGTATTACATTAGAAGAAGATTAGATTAGAATAAGGATTCAACGTATTTTTAAAAGCTCTACACACAACGAAGTGAATATACAAAACTATATACAAATACCTTTTTCTTCTGTGTTTCTGAAGAAAATCTTTTAAATAGAAAATAGTGTCTTGCGATCATGAAGAATAGGTTTTAAATAGCAAGGTTTCATTTGACTTATAATTTTCGATATTATTCACTTAATTAATATGTAATTTTTTATTGTATATTACGACAAATAATCAGTAAACTTTTTAAGCGTATAGCTTTATTGTACTTGACCTGAGAACTGTACATTTATAAATTTTACTTAATATACACCCGTTTCGAGCAACAAGGCAAAGTTTTCTGATCAATAACTTACTCCCTGAAAATACGGTATAACACAAATCGGAAGTTGATACGAAAATTCGAAATTTTACTAAAGAAAGATTGGAGGTTTTTAATTTATACAATTTTCACAACTCTTATTTCAATTATTTATTCTACCCATCGAAAGTTTTTTGAGAGCAGGCCGCCATGTTATTTTTCTGAGTAATTAACAAATTGGTACTCTGGAATTACGAGCAATTATTTTTCATTGTACGGGCTAGTATGAATTTCAAATCAAATCTCTATAAACGACTATTATATTTTGTGCACTAAGAATAACATATCGCACTTATTTTCTAGAATCAAATTGTAATCAGTTTTACTTATATGTATGTATGTTCAATGTGAACTTGCACCTTGAATAAAATATCACAGTTATTTTTCATGGTAATATATTATTACTAAATTTAGATAATATACACTTTACGTATGTTCACTTTGAACTGGCACCTTGAATAACATATCAGTTACTTTTCGTGATAATTTATTATTAGATCGTCTAAATTTTTGAGTGCCTTCTTTTGAACATGGCCTGACCTTTTCATTTTTATGATTTTTTTAGGATATATATATATAGTAATACAATAGTAATACAAATTACTAAATATTAAGTGCCATGTGCAAATTTTAATAAAGGATCTGTTTCATATAAAAAATAAAAGTGATAGGAGACGAAAATATTGTGATTAATATTGAAAAAATTACCTATAGTCATTAAAATTCCAGAATTTTTCAGGAAATTACAGCCTTTGATATGCATCTGACCAATATTTTCATTTTTATCGATAGCATTTATCAATGTATTAATATCTAATATAAAAGCAGAACTGAATTATTATCAAATAATTATGCTAAAATAATAGTTATGAAAGTACTTCGCATTAATCTTATGTGAAATGAATTTCAGTTAAACTAGCTGTTTTTTTTCAAATGTAGCTTATGATCTGTTGAACAAAAGATGCAATAATCTCAAGGCTAATTAATAAACAATTATTGAGTATAGCCAGGCAAGCAGTTCGCAAAGCCCGAGTATTTCATATTTGACTGATTGTATAAATCAGTACCTATTATTTAGCTTTGAGCCTATTACATTTTTTTCAATAGATTATAAGCTACAACATATTAAAAAACCAGCTGATTTAACCGACACTTCACATAACATTAATGTGGGATACTTTAAATTTTTAGTTAATATTAAGAAAACTCACCTAATATTTGCGAGTCATTGATCTCTAAAAATTCATAGCCTTTTTCTTGCAAGGCAGCCTTTTCATTATATATATTTTCATCAATAGATCTTATTTTCATATCATTATATATATTTTCATCAATAGATCTTATTTTCATATCATTATATATATTTTCATCAATAGATCTTATTTTCATATCAGTATCTAATATAAAAGTAAGAAGCAAAACTATATTATATGTTTATCATAAAATAGCACTTATGAAGTTTGCTAATATTAAAGAAACTCACCTAATATTTGAGCATCATCATTTTTAAGAGAGTCACAGTTTTCTCTTTGTGCAGCAATCTCTTTGATGCATGTATTCCTATCGACAGAGCCTTTCTTTGTATTAATATCTAATGTGAGAATAAAAAGAAAAACTACATTAGATTATGAAAAGAATTATTATAAAAAGTTGATATCAGAAATGATATATATCAAAGAAGAAAACAACAGTATCAACCTAAAAAAGGACACCGAGCGTCTTGACGGTTCTTATTATGATATTCTAAAAAAATTGTCTACGTCATCTTAAAAATTGGGTATATATACAGCGCGCCGACATTGTAAGATACAGATATCGATTTGTTTTTTAAAAAAGTACACATTGTGATTATGTTAAGTAAAAAGAAATAATTTTTAAAAAAAGTGTTATGTTCGTTGACAAAAAAGTAAGTTAATACTATTTATTAAAAATCTAAATGTAATATTTGAGCGGATATATTAATTTGTTCACAGTGTCGTTACATAATATAACAGCATCTGACGCTCTAACTCATGCCAACAAACATGAATTTTGTACTGCGTTCGTCATATAATCTTATAATTGTTATATTTATTTATGATGTCGAAATGACTAAATTAATTTTTTAACATATTATTAGGATATTGAGAAAGACTGTCGTACAGTCGAAACGTTTATCTTAACTTTTTTATAGTATGACGTAAATTAATAAATAAATTTTTCAATTAATAGCATATAAGCTCGTTAAGTTGGCCTTTTATTATATCACATATTTTAATTGTATACGAGCCGAAGTTTAATTTATAAAATAGATACATTTAATTCACGCTGGCCTTACAATGCGTAATAATTATACACTTTTTAAGTTCCACCATTTTAATTTTAAGTTTGTACAACATAATTATGGACAACAAAGTTTTGAAGATTTAAAATCTTGGCTAGGGGCAAATTATGGCAAAATAAGAACTGTGTCCAAATTAATATTTTTAAAACAATGTAGGACATTCAGAGTTTTACCTAAGCATTTATCAGACAATAGTAATATTAACGTATGTCATTATAAATCAAAAAAAAGGTTAGACAGTGTGTTGCATAAATTTAGAATGGAAATATTAAACATAGAGATATTTGACTTGCACAGACAAATAGGGTATTTTAACAAAAACATAAGATACTTTACACAAAGATTAAATAACAACATCCCATCCCAGGTATGGCAAGAGATTTATAACCACCATAGTAGATTATTCAAAAAACAAATTTTAAACTTACATTACTTACATAAGAAAAAATTCTGTTGGTTATTGCAAAAAAAAGAATCGGATTACTATAATAATATTAAACCCATAGTTTTTTCTTTCTGTTCAGAGAAAAATAGTGTAAACTCTCAAAATAATAAATATATTAATAACCACATTAACGCAACAAATTTTATAAACAGAACTATTAATCCATTAGAACAAACCAATGATAAATGGTTTATTAATTTGACTGATGTAGATATTCCAACTGATGTCACAAATTTATTGCAATTAGGTAGTGATTTTAGCCTTCCTATTAATACTGATAAAAAAACAGCTGTCCATGAATTTATTAAAGACATAGAAAGCAATTCGAATAACATAACTAATCTCACGACAATAAGAAACATAGCTATTCCACAGTTCTTTGTTTTTTTAAACAACAATACTAGGAAAGACATAATTAATGACAAACTTACTTTTATGTACAAAAAAACCATGACATTTTGTAAACAAAATCCCAGCATCATTTTCACAAGAGCAGACAAGGGAAACACGACCGTAGCAATGACCAAAGAATTTTATATAGACAAAGTTGAAGAATTATTAAATGACAAAGATAATTATATGACAATCAAAAACAATCCAATAATAAAAATAGAAAAAGACCTTAACAAAAATTTAAAACAATGGTTAAAAAATGAATGGATCACAAAAAAAGACTATTATTGTTTAAGTTCCAGTGATTCAGTGCTTCCTAAAGCATATGGCTTGCCCAAAATTCACAAGGAAAATGTTCCATTCAGAGTAATAGTATCGTCGGTCAATACAGCACTACATCATTTAGCTGCATATTTACACAACATTTTAGTGACAAGTTTACCCAAAGGGAAAAGTCATGTTAACAATAGTTTTGAATTGTGCAACGCTTTGTCTGATCTTAAATTAAATAACAATGAAACAATCGTATCTTTGGATGTGATATCGTTGTTCACAAATGTTCCTGTGGACCTTGCAATAGACAGCATAAATAATAGATGGCATTACATTGAAAACCACACATCAATAGACAAAAATGAGTTTGTTAATGTAATTAAATTCATTTTGACTTCAACGTACTTCACATTCAACGAAACGATCTATAAACAAATACATGGAACTCCTATGGGATCGCCTTTATCTCCAATTATTGCGGATATTGTCATGCAAGATATAGAAACTAGGATTCTTGAAACTATAAAGGTTAATATAAGGTTTTACTATCGCTACGTCGATGATATCTTGCTTTGCTTGCCGGAAGATCAAGTCACATATCTAGTAGAAAAATTTAATGATTGTCACGATAGATTAAAATTCACAATAGAAAGAGAGGATAACCGTAGCATAAGTTTTTTAGATATCTCACTCAAAATTATAAATAACATAATATACATAGATTGGTTTCAGAAAAAAACATTTTCGGGTAGAACACTCTCATATCATTCAAATCATCCTATATGCCACAAAAAAAGTGTAATATATAATTTAGTAGACCGGTCAATATTATTATCACATCCCCGTTTTCATAGTAAAAATTTAACATTAATCATAGAGATTTTATTGAGCAATAGTTATCCTCTTGATCTCATTTTCTCAGAAATCAACAATAGACTGAAATTCCTTATTGTTAATAGATTAAACAAAGAAATGACTCAAGATATAAATAACGAAATCATAAATAATGACAATAATAAAAAATTCATAGCGATACCTTATATTGAAAGAATCTCGGAACTAGTAGCATCAGAATTAAAGAAAGCAAATATAACAGTAGGATACAGATGTCTAAAGAAATTAAACAGAGTCATAAAAACGCAAAAAGACAGAGATAAGCTCCAAAATAATTCGGGGGTCATATATAAGATTTCGTGTAATAATTGTGATGCTACATATGTAGGACAGACGAAAAGACAATTAGGTACAAGAGTAAATGAACATAAAAATAATATTAGATTAGATTCAGCAAGGCACTCGGTGGTTTCTGATCATATTGTAAAATTTACACACAATTTCAATTGGAACGACACAAAAATCCTAGATTATGAAAAGAATTATTATAAAAGGTTGATATCAGAAATGATATATATTAAAGAAGAAAACAACAGTATCAACCTAAAAAAGGACACCGAGCGTCTTGACGGTTCTTATTATGATATTCTAAAAAAATTGTCTACGTCATCTTAAAAATTGGGTATATATACAGCGCGCCGACATTGTAAGATACAGATATCGATTTGTTTTTTAAAAAAGTACACATTGTGATTATGTTAAGTAAAAAGAAATAATTTTTTAAAAAAAGTGTTATGTTCGTTGACAAAAAAGTAAGTTAATACTATTTATTAAAAATCTAAATGTAATATTTGAGCGGATATATTAATTTGTTCACAGTGTCGTTACATAATATAACAGCATCTGACGCTCTAACTCATGCCAACAAACATGAATTTTGTACTGCGTTCGTCATATAATCTTATAATTGTTGTATTTATTTATGATGTCGAAATGACTAAATTAATTTTTTAACATATTATTAGGATATTGAGAAAGACTGTCGTACAGTCGAAACGTTTATCTTAACTTTTGTATAGTATGACGTAAATTAATAAATAAATTTTTCAATTAATAGCATATAAGCTCGTTAAGTTGGCCTTTTATTATATCACATATTTTAAAAACTACATTATTATCAAGTATTTATGATAAAATAGCAATTATGATATTTACCAATAGTAAGGAAGCTCACCTAGCATTTCAGCATCAATTACAAAAGATTCACAGCCTTTTTCTTGCGAGGCAGTCATACCGTTGTATATATTTTCATCGATAAATGCTATTCTTGTATCATCATCTATAATATAAAAATAAGAAGCAAACTATATTAATATATGTTTATTGCAAAATAGCATTCATGAAATTTGATAATATTAAAGAAACTCACCTAATGATATTTGAGCATCATCATTTTTAAGAGAGTCACAGTTTTCTCTTTGTGTAGCAGTCTCTTCAAAGCATGTATTTTTATCGA